TGCAGACTTGGGAGAGGCCGGACGCCATTTATTTTGATGCTCCAGGTTGCTTGATTAGCAGCTGCTGTCAAGAAACCCAGCAAACTTCACTTTGAAAAACTCCGCACAACCCCAGGGAGCCGCACGCTGACATTTTTGGAGAACAGTTGAGAAACAGCTTTGCAAAGAAAAAAAAGGAAAGTTTAAATTTAATTTAACTTTTACTTAAACGAAGTTATTGGAAGAACTTCTGATTACTTAAATGGCTTTTTTAAAATTCTTATTTTTCACCTAGAGGAGGCAGAGAGATTTTTTTCCTTCACCGTTTTCTTCTTATTTCATACATTTGCCGAGCGGCTGCTTACAGATAAGCTGTCTGTGTCTTAGAGACTTTTTTGACTCTGTGATTTAGAAGCATGTGGCCCAAACTGACACAACTCCCTGAACACTGAAATTATGAGTTCAGTCACAAATGAACACGATTTAAATTGATATTAAAATTTAATATATTATTCAAAAAATTAGTTGAAATCAAATACTTTATTCTGAATATAAATGATGTACTTTAACCAGAATAAGCAACTCTGTTTCAGATTATAAGTAATTTATAAAGTTGATTTAGGGTCACTTTGAAATGACCCTAGAAGTTGGTGACACTTGGGTATGCAGTTATCTAAAAGAAATTTGAAACAGTTTCCAACACTCATCTTTTTGAATGTGCAAAACTGATAAACTAGTCCGTTATGGGAAAAAAAGACAATAAGAAATAAATACGGAAATTAGCAAAAACCAGTATTAAGCATATGTCTTTATGAATAAGACTTAATCACACACTTCATTTTGCAAATACAAAAGGGTCTTTTGAAATGTATTAATTAAAGTTAACTGCTGTAGACAGGCTGCTTTGCAGGGCCTTGGTCCTCTCTCCCTATTAGCATAGCATTAGCGACAGCCGAAGAAATTGGGTTAATAAAGCCGGATATCGTAGCAGAGCCGCTCCGGCGCAAACCGGCGCGGACAGCTCGGTCCCCCAGGGCGGCCGCCGGCTGTGCTGGGGGGGGGGGGCGGGCCGGGGGGGCGAGGGGGACCCCGGCTGGTGGCAGAGTTCTGAGTTGAGCACCGACTTTAAAAAACACAGACCCCGTCCTCACACCGACTTTAAAAGAGACCCCGTTGCGGTTCGCACCGGCCAGGGCGCGGCCCCCACCAGGGTACTCACCGTGGCCCTGTCTCCTCTCCCGGAAATGTGCGGGGTTGGTGGGCTGGGGGCTTGGCCGGTCGCCAGGGCTAGACCAGGCCCTTCCCTGACACCCCAGGACTCCTCCTCCATGCAGCCGCCTTTAAGCAGAGGGCGCGCCGAGGTCTCCATCCAGCTCCACACGGGCCGCGCCAGGGTGTGGACGATCCGGCGGGGGCATTGGTGGCTGGGGAGCCCAGGGGCTGTTTAGGGAACGAATTCTGCAGCCGGCGTTAGCGTCCGCTCACCCCTAGGCAAGCAAGAAAACAAACACAACAGACTTGGGAGCCGCAAAGCTCCTGGCCAGGGTCTTCTTGCGGCTGCGGCCCGGCTTCTTTGAAAACGACAACTGCGGAGCCGGGGCCGGGGCGGGGCTCATCCGCAGCTCCGCTGCTTCGGCGCGGGGGTCCTGGAGCAGGCAGAGGGGGAAGGTGCCGGGCGCGGTGCGTCCTCGGGGACACGCCCACCCGGAGCGCGGCCCGGAGGTTTGGCGAGAGCGGCCGACGGGGGCCAAAGACGCGCTCCAAAGCGAGGGCCACGACCCGCCAAGGTGGGCTACGCTGTGTCCCGCGCTCCGCCAACCCCCGGGTGGCTCAGGGGAGGACCACCTGCCCGGGGGTCGCGACCATCCTGGTTTTCTTTTTGAGGCTGAGCGGCGGCGCCCGGAAAAGCACGTTTGGTCACCCCCGTCCCGTCCCCAGGGTCGAGGGCTGGGGCGTCGGGAGGGTGCCCGTTGGGCGCTGCGGGCTCCAGGGCATGGATTCCAGCGCCCCGCTGTCCGGTTCAATCCCGCGCCCGGATGGGCTTTGCGCTTCCCGCGGGCCCAAATGTTCAGCACGCAAGGGCTGGAAGCGAGGCCTGGCCGCCTTCTCCCCGTGGGCGGGGTCCGGTGGGGGCAGGGTGACACAGTCATGGGGTCAAGGTAAAATGAAGGACGCGTTCGGAAGGAAGGGGCGGCCCGGGGCCCTTACGGCTTCCCGTTACAGTGTTTGCAAAGCGCCGAGGGCGTCCCGGAGAAGGCGGCGCACTTGTCTGGGCAGGGCAGCGCGGCGCCGGCGGAGAAGGGGTACACGGCAGCCTGGCCAAAGGGCGTCAGGGGCGCGGCGGCCACCGGAGCGGCCAAGCCCTGGCCCTGGTTGAGGTAGGCCACGAGGCGCCGCATCTCATCCAGGGCCTGTGCCTGCATGAGGATGTAGTTCTTGGCGAGCAGCAGCGTGGCAATCTTGGAGAGCTTGCGCACCGACGGGCTGTGCGCGTAGGGGATGACGGCGCGCAGCCCGTCCAGCGCGTCGTTGAGGTCGTGCATGCGCCGCCGCTCCCGCGCATTGATGCTCAGCCGCAGCGAGCGCTGCTCCCGGGGCCGCCGCCGCCCGTCCGCCGCGCCCCCGGGCCCGCGCCGTCGCCGCCGCTGCTCGAAGGCGTCATCCTCGTCGCCGCTCTGCTCGCCGCTGCTCTCGGCCGCCGCGGCCGGAGCTCGGGGAGCGGACGCCACGGGGAGGTCGCCGCCCGGGCCCGGCGCGCCGTAGCCGCGGGCCGCCTCGGGCCCCCGGGCCGCCCCGTAGGCGAGGCCCACAGCCGCCGCCGCGTAGCCGTGGCTCAGCGCCAGGTACGCGTCCCCCGACAGCGACTTGAGCTCGGCCATGGCGGCGCCTCCGGGGCCCGAGGGCTCGCCGGGCAGGCAGGCGCTCATGCGGCCCGGCCCGAGCCGCCCCGGGGTCCGCGCGCGCGTTGGCCGCTGCCGCAGCCTGGGTACCGCTCCCGGCTGGCGCTTCCGTCCGGCAGTCGGTCGGTCGGTCGGTCCCGGGGCCTCCCCGCGCCGGGGCCTCTGGGTCCCGCCCCAGCCCCGCCTCCTGGTCGCCTCCCCCTCTCTCGTCTCTGTCCTCTCCCCCCGACCCCCTCCTCCCCACCTCTCGCTGCCGCGCGCAGGGCTGGGCTGCGGAGGGCTCTACCTTCTCCTCGCCCGTTCCTGCTTTAAGGTGCGGAGGCGCCCTCTGGGACTTCGCGGCCGTCCAATCAGAGGGAACTTGGTGACCGCCTCTTCCCGGAGCCCAGCTCCACCGGCGGCGCAGACCGATGGTCAGGGGTGGGGCGCCGCCGGGATGGAAGGAGCTGGAGGTCTGGTTGGAGACGGCTGTGGAAGCCGCGGGACCCGGGAGAGCTGTTCCTGCTTCCCGGCGTCTCGAGCTTCTGCCTCCTGCCACCCCCGGGGGTTGCCGTCACTGTGCGCCCCCGTCGCTCGTGGGCACCCGCCTCAGGCCGCCTTGTCCTCGTCTTCGGTACCATTTGCAGGAGCCACCTCCGGCGCCGCGCAGGCAGGTATCGGAGCAGGGAGCGCGCAGCCCACCGCGGACGCCTGACCCGCCGAGGCCGGAGGAGGTGCGGAGCGCACGCCCGGGGCGCTCGGTGGGCGCCCTCCAGGAGCGGCCTCACAGCTGGGTAACCCGCGGGGAAAAGGGCGCGCTCCGAACGCCCCGAGGCCCGGCTGGGCTGGGCCTTCCCCACAGCTGGCCCTCTCGTGGGTGTCCAGCCCCCGCCGCGCCGTTTCCGGGGACAAGTGCGTCCTGGAGATGTTTCCACGCTCCCTGAAGTCTTAGTGATTTGAGGCGGGGATCGGAGACTTAAGGACAGAAACCTCTTGTTCAGGCAAAACCTTGTTTCAATTCTCTGCTATTTCCAGTGAAAGGTTTTTTCCGTGGTTTGCCCTACCATAGAGGAGGAATTTTCTCAGTTTTCTATTTGGGGGCGGGGGCGAGGGCTCCACCATGAAGTTGGGGAGCATGGCAGCTCTGCTGGAGAAAGCAGATGGGGGCTGCGCCGGCGAGAGGCTGGGGCGGGGGCGGGTCCTCTGTCCTGGCCTGAGTCTCATCCAAGAAACCCCTCCAGGGACGGCTGTGGTGCCCCCAGGGGGACGTCAGACCAGGGGTGTCGCCTGAGCACCTGCGGGGCCCCGGGATGCACGATGCCCGGTTCCGCAATTTCCCCGCCAGCCTGGGCCGGGGAGGGTGTGGGGGCTGGTCCTTGGGCGCAGCTCGCCTCAGGGTGACGCGCTGGCCGAGCTGGGGCTGCCAGCCAGGAGAGTCCCCGTGGCTGGGAGGTTGGGGGCAAGGATTCAGGCCAGACCTGTCGGAAGGTTTGGGAGGGGTGGGGTAATGATGGAGTTTCTAATACAGGTTGAAAAACCCCGGGAGGGTAGGAAGCTGAGAGCAGCCTGGTTCCTTTTTCAAACCTGGGTCCCGGTTTTGTGCACGGCCAGCGCAGCGCCACCTGACCTTTCTCCACATTCTAAGTGCAGGGAGCGCACACTGGCTGCAGGGCTTCGGCGGAGTTTCCAGAGGTGCCTCCTCCTCGCGGATTGAGCCCCATCTGGGGGAATCCTGCCAGCCGCGGGGCTCACCTTTTCAATCTTTCCAATGAGAGATGAAGGACCCCAGACTTTCTCCAGGTGGGAAGGTGCCTGGAGGTCTTGTGGAGTTGGCGGGTGGTGGTTGCTTCCCACTCAGTCAAGAGATGGTGTCCCCCTGGCCTCCAGCTCAGTACTGCCTGGGAACCACTCACCAGGCCCTGCTGTGTGACCTTGACAGAGTAGCTTAACCTCTCTGTTCTCCAGGTTTCCCAGGGAGAGGAGTAACAGAGATGATCTCGGTGTTGTCGAGTGCTCGGGGAACGTGAGCAGGTGCAGGTGCTCTTGTGCAGCGAATGGCTGAGAGCTGTGTGCGCTCTGGAAGGTTCTGGAAATCCAGCAGTGATGGGGATCCTGGCTCTCAAGGGCTTCCATGCTGGGTGGGAGGAGACAGGCACAAACACGTGGGTCATCAGTCGCGGGAAACACCAGAGTCGCTGTGCTCTGGGCCCTGCGGATGGATGAGGGGAGGGGGGCCTGTCCCGTCTGGGGCTGAAGGTGGGCTCAGGGACAAGAAGGGTCTGGGGGGGCTCTCCAAGGAGCCCCTGCACTGCCTCCTGGGCTGAGGTCAGGCACGGGCAGGGCGGTGGGGACAGCTCAGCATGGACAGGCCGCCATGGTGTTTGGGCCATGGTCTGAAGGGTGAGTGGGTGTCAGGCCAAGCACCTGGGGTGGGGGAGCACCCTGGGGGGCAGGGGGCTTACAGGCTGTTGGAAGGGGCGTGGCACATTGGAGGGGGCAGCAGGGGGCCAGGGTGGGGCCCAGAGACCAAGGGGCGGCCAGTCTGGTGGGGAGTTCGGTCTTTGCTGGGAGGGCTGAGGCCGCCACTGTAGGAGCTCAAGGAAGCGTTTTCTGCAGATCACTGCTCCCGCTGTGGTCAGGGGGTTTGGGGCACTTCCTCCTGGCTGTCCCTCCAGGCCTGGCAGAGCTGCCAGAGGTGACAGGGGACGTGGAGAGAGGTGGGCCAGCTCCACTGTTACCCCCGCGGCCGACACGAGCGGTGTGGCCTGATGGGGGCCAATGACCTCCTACCTCTGGGACTCAGGGCTGGAGGGCGGGAGGGTTGAGGGGGCGGGTGTGCTGTGGACAGATTGAGTGTGAGGGCGTTTGAACCACCCAAGGGGTGTCTGGCAGGCCCTCACGGGGACATGGAAACGTCGTCAGAGCATTCAGTAATTGAAGCCACAGGCACCCAGGATATTGGCTTTCAGAAGAGGGGCTGGAGTAGAGCCCCTGCTGTGGCTGCAGGTCAGCATCGCTGGGAGATTAAATTAAATCCGACGTTGGGCCTGGGCCAGAGGGGTCTGACAGTGTCAGTCTGGGGTCCAGCCTGGCCTTTGGGATGTCTACACTCCAGTCCGGGAAGCGAGGGCTCTGGGCCAGTTTCTGAACTTCAGCAGCTCAGAGAAGGGCTGGAGGCGGGGTGGGGGGCGCGGGCCTTCCTCTGGGGTCCCAGACCCTCAAGCAGCCTCCCCGGAGGGCCCAATCCGGGCGATGCTCGGCCGCAAATCTTGAAAGCGCCGGGAGAGGCATGGTTTTTGGTCAGACGCTGCCCCCTGCTGGCCACCTGGGAGATTGCGCTCCACCCGCTGGCCCTGCTGGTTAATACTCGTTCTCAGGCCCTCCCGGACCCTGTCCACACAAGCCTCACCTCCTGTCCACAACGGGGAGAGCGGGGCACAGCGAGAAGCCGCCCTCCCTGAATTCGGAGGCGGGGGCTCCAGAGGCCAGCGCTTCACCAGAATCAGGCAAAAGACAGGCCCCAAGCATGGCTGCCGGACGCAGACGCACTGGCCTCTTTGGGGGCCCCGCCAGCCTTGGGTGGAAGATGCCGCTTTCCGCACCTGGGCATGAGAGCCCCGCTCAACTTCCCGCCACCTGTTCGGAGGGTGTTCCTCATTCCTTATGTAATTTCTGATGTTTCAGCAGTTTCATTGCCATCGTCACTGACACGCAGCTTGCTTTCACGTTGAGAAGCCCCGTGGCTGTTCCTGGGCTGGAAGACACCCAAGGAATATTGATTTCAAACCTCTTCGTGTTTTTATTGGTTTTGTTTTGCAGCCCCACACTTGCTTTTCGGTTGTGATTTTTTTTCTGCGCTATTTCCTAAGCGCAGAAGGCTAAACGCGGTCACGGCTCTTTGCCGTTTGGTGTGGACGTTCCTCCGGGGGGAGGTCTCCGGGGGGAGCCCGAGGGCAGCAGGTTGGGGCAGCCAAGACAGCCTCGGGCCTCGCCAGGCAGGGAAGAGGCTCAACGGAGGCTCCTTTGGGGCAGCCTTGGTCCTGCGTCTCAGCTGAGACTCCGCCCCTGCCCCCATTGTTTCCATGGGTCTCTGGTGATGGAGCGCCAGTCCCGAGGCTCATTTTAGGGGCTTGTGTCTCCGTGTACCTCTCACCAAGTGCCTCTGGGTAGCACTTGGTAATTGTCCTTTAAGTCCCCCGAGCTGCGCCTCAGAACCTCTGGTTGGCAGCTCTGGCCTCTGACCGTCTGCAGTCTCCATGTCCCCCTGGGGGGAAGGTAAAGATGGCCCCCAATCCACTTACAAGAACCTGTTTTTGTTCAAGTTGTTTTTAGAAACCCCACAAAACCACCACCTCCTGCATTTTGACAGGACTTGACAGTTTACAAAGCCCTCCCTCCCCCCTCCCTTATTCCCCCCACCCCACTAGCGGACACCGTGCCAGGTTAGTCCAGGGTGATGAAAAGAAATTTTTTAAAAAAACCCAGCTTTACTGAGATATAATTTGCGTACTATACATTTCCCCCCACTTCAAGTTTAAGATTCAAGGTTTTTAGTTTATTCACAGTGTCATTCACAGTGTCCATCATGACAGTCTATTCCAGGGCACGTTCGTCATCCCCAAAAGACTCGTATCCATTACCTGTCACTCCCGTTCCTCCCTTTGCAAATGAAGCCCATGGCAACCAGCAGTGTGCTTTCTGTCTCTATGGATTTGCCTGCTCTGGACGTTTCGTGTAAATGGACTCATACGCTATGTGGCCTTTTGTGACTGGCTTCTCTCACTGAGCATGTTTCCAGGTCCATCCACATTGCAGGAGAGGAGGTTTTAACGCCATATGAGCTGCGGGCTTGTGGCCTCTGGGTGGGGTATAGAGGAGACAGTCTCCTGGTACTGACCGTCTCCCGGGAGTTGCTCAAGACTCTCAGATCACATCCCACCAACTGGATCTTCAGATCGCCTCAGAGGTGGCCCTGCCGGGCGTGCAGGGGGGATGCCCAGAACGCGTCAGCCTGAATTTACCTCCCCAAACAGACGCCTTGGTTAGTGGCACAGCGTTGACCTGGAGTAATAAAAAGAGAGCTACTGAGTCCGCGCGAAAACTCAGGGAGGAAGCAGGGGGCCCCCGGGGTT